TGGGCACGCACACACACGCACCCGGTGTGAGTTTTAAGCCACTGGGTCCGGGATGCGAACCACGGTCGACTACATGGGAGTCCAGCAACATAGCCATTACGCTAACTGCTGGTCCCAATTTTGTGTTTTTTATTTCCTCTTACACAGATGTTCCACAAACAAATTTTCGCCGTTTACCTTTTGACCACTGTAGGTAAGTGTTGTCATTCGCAGGAGAAGGATGACAGGGACACCGAGAAAGCACCCCCAGTAGGGTCCTGATGCCCAGTCCCCCCAGGCTCCAGCCACTTGCAGTTATAAGCACACGTGCATCCGGCATCCTCAGAGAAATCTCAGAGTGCAAACCCAGACCCCCTCGACGTGGCTCCGCCTTGGAGAGTGTTAGGGCCGCGCCACCGGCTGGTTTCCTGAGGTCCTATTCTGTGAGAGCTGGCAAAGCTTCCCTGGTGATCCCAGTCCCCCGGTAGAGGCAGGTCAGCCAGATCCCAAAAGCACAGCGAGAAAGGAACAGAGAGCAGGGCGTCTGGGGGTGCAACTGCCGTGGCCCATCAATCCTTGGCGTGACCTTTGGCGCTTGCTGTGGTGTCAGTCGGTGCCGTGGTCACCACCATTACCATCACTTCTCGTATCACTAGTGCAGGAGAAGGTGGGCCAGAGCAGCTCCCATGGCAGTGTCCTGGGGGGTCACCGTGCCAGGCCTGGCCGTAGCCTGGTAGGGCTGGAGTCCTGGTGCCGTCAGGGTGTGCAGGCCCTGCAGACCAACCAGGACGGCCAGGACTCTGGGTACATGGGACAGAATCCCAGGCACAGCGGGTACCGGCTCACGGCAGCTCACTAGGTGAGGTCTGCTGTCAGGGCAGCCCAGGCACCCCCAGATGTGAGCGCTCTACGAGACTCTCGGGCCGAGGACGGCAGGTCTCAGTGGAAGCGTGGCCTGCCTGTTCTGCGTGGGCTGTGGAGAGCACGTTCCAGTCCCGCCTCTTGGGTCAGCCCCAGGGTTGCCTTTGGACTTGAACATGATGACAGGACCATTGGTGAGTGCAGAGGGCGTGAGACAGGCCAGGCTGCTGCCGTGCCTAGGCCCGGTGGCACCTGGGAGCCAGCGCTGGCTGCATTGAGGGGACCCTGGGGGAACAGCTCAGGGCCTGAAGGAAGGCCAAGGGGGTCGTCACAGGAGCCACAGGGCGGCCCGGCCAGCCTGCGCAGGGCCCGTGTGCTGCCGGCCGGCCGGGGGTGACTCTGTCCTTTTTCAGCCTCTCTCTGCAGCCCTTCGCCTACCCGGTCTGCACCCCTGAAGGCGTCGTCTTTGACCTGCTGTGAGTTTTCCCTTCAAGTTTCTTGCTTGCGTTTTATTTACTTATTTCATCAGAGATACTGAGGGAGAGAGATAGGGACCCCGGACAGGGTCTCTTCCGGCTACAGTGCTTCCCCAGCCCTGCGGCCAGCGGGGTCACAGCCTGCAGGTGCACCCTGGGAGTTCAGGCAGGCCACGGCCCCAGCCCAGACCCCCATACGGCTGCAGCATTGTGCAGAGGCCACCTGGCACTCCTGCCGCCACGGCCAGGCCACCTCAAGTTTCTCTCTAACAGACGTGGCGACGTTGTCAGCACCCACAGGAAGGGGACATTGGCCAACTTGAGGGTTTCTGGGTCCAGGTTAGGCAACACCAAGGGGTCAGTTGAACTTGGTTCCCTGGGTGACCTCTTGGGGACCAAGGAAGGACTCCCGGGCCTCAGGGATGTAGCAGCAGTGCCACCCTGACTCCCAGGCAGACAGTTTAGCTGGCAGGTGCTGTCATCGCTTGGAACGTGGTTGGCCACCCCCACCGCACGTGGGGTCCCGTGTGCTGGGACGCCTGTGCCCGTGTTGGGATATTTTCACTCGTGGAAGCTGAGCTGTGGTTGGGCGCACGTGGCCTGTGCTGTGCTCCGGAGCATTACACCCGGTTTTCCATTCTAGCATGGGCCAGCCTCTCATCTTTCATGTTTCAAGCTCGTTCTAGAAAATGAGGAAAATATGGGGCCAGCAGATGGCATGGCGGACACATCACTGGACTCCCGCATGGCCGACCCTGGGTCTAGTCCCAGACCTGGTGGCTTGAAAATCACAGCAGGCGTGTGTGTATATGTGTGTGCGTGCGTGCCCAGAATCCCGGGAGGAGAAGGGATTGTGGTGCGCCATCCCCCTGGGGGCAATTTCTCACTTTCTCTCACTGTTTCTGTCTCTCTGGTAAGTGCACGCGCCCTAAGGCGAAAACCTCTTTGAAAATTTTTTTTAAAAAATAGAAAATTAGGAAAATATTTTGAAGAAAGAAAGAATTGTACCATAATCTTACTACCTAGAGTAACCAGTGTACATTTCTTTAAGATTTGCTAGAGGGTGTGTGTGCTCACAGAGAAGTGAGAGCACACCCTCTGTGAGCGATGATCTCGCCTCGTGAGCACCTCCTTCAGCCCTCCCTCCTTTCGGGATTTTGGGCACGCATGTACACGTGCTTGGACATGTTTTCTAAGCTGCTGGATCTGGGACTCGAACCGCACAGTCTGCCCTGTGGAACCCAGCTCTTTCGAACACTACACCACTGACTGACCCACCACTGTGATGTTTATACTAAGGAGTATAAACATTTCCCGTGAGTTTATTTGTAGTAAGTTGGTTGTGAAGAAAGTTCTGGATCCATTTTTCACTCAGGTTTTTTTTTTTTTAGACTTTTTTTTTTTTTTTTGTAGTTTTTTTTTTTAGGTTTTTGTCATAGGGCATGTGTGCTCACCAGAGAGAGACAGAGATACTGAGAGGGAAAGTGAGAAGTCACTTCCCAGGGCAGATGGTTATGTCACAATATTCCATTCTCCTGTTGGGACTTTGGGCATGCAGGCACATGTGCCGGGTGTGATTTTCAGGTCACCAGATCAGGGACCTGAAATGTATTAGTCACATGGGAGTCTAGTTCCTTAATTACTATGTCACTGGATGGTCTATGTTTCATATTTTTAAATAGGTTTTTTAACTTAAGAATATTTGAAGGGATCTGAAGATGGCATAATGGTTATGTTGCTGGACTCCTATGTAGTCGGTTGGGGTCTGGGATTTGAACCGTGGTCGACTACTTGAGAGTCCAGGGACATAGCCATTACACTAACTGCTGGTCCCTTTCACTCAATTTTGATGGTAGCTTTTTTAAATTTTAATTCAGAATCTCTAAAAGCAGATTCTGTCCCCGTATCTCACGTATGTATGTACCAATGTGTGTTTCTGCCTTTTTCACTGTAGTTTTTTTAAATAAGCAGTGAGGGGTCAGTTAATTAATTAATAAAACTTAAAAAAACAATTAGTTAATTTTTTTTTTTTTTAATTAGGCCAGAGAGGAACAGAGTAAGAGAGAGAGAGGAAAAGTAAGAAAGCAAGCCGCCAGGTCTGAGACTTGAACCACGGTCAGCCACGGGGGAGTGCAGTGCCCTTAACCACCACGCCACCTGCCGGCCCCAATTAAAACATGTTTTTAAAAACAGAATTATTTTTGGGACCAACAAATGACATAATGGTTGCATCACTGGACTCCCACATAGTCAACTGTGGTTCAAGTCCCAGACCCAGTGGCTTGAAATTCACGCCGGTCACGTGGCCATGCGTGCCCAAAATCCCAAGAGGTGACTGGAGGAGAAGGGATTGTGACATGGCCATCCCTCCAGGCGGGGTCTTTTCTTGCTTTCTGTCTCTCTCTCTCTCTCTGTCTCACGTGTGTACCCTATAGCAAAAATCTCTCAAAAAATTATCTTTATTTAATTCTATTTATCATCACTATGATTTTTTAACTTTGCTATTCACCAGAGAGAGACAGAGAGAGAAAGAGAAGGGAAGTGAGAAAGCAAGCCTCCAGGTCCAGGACTCAAACTAGGATCAGCCATGTGGCAATCCAGCACCGTGTGGGAGTCCACCATGCTACCTGTGGGCCCCTAGTTAATTAATTATTGCCAAAGCGTGCTTGTACTCACTAGAGAGAAAATGGGGGGGCAGAAAGAGGAAGCAGCTCGCAATGAGACGTCGTTCACACAGCAATCCTTTCTCTTCCATTCCTCCTGTCAGGATATTTTGGGGCACGCACACACACGAATCTGGTGTGTTTTCTAAGCCACCAGGGCCAGGATGTGAACTGGGTTAACCACGTGGGAGATCTGACTCCCTTAGCTGCCGTGCTCCGGAGCCAGCGCCACCCTGCTGGTAACAGTTTTCTTTCTTTCTTTTTTAACATCTCCCAATTCAGTGGGATCACAGGCGTGTACGGCCTTGCTGGCTTTTAGAGTGGGCCAGGAATTGAACCCAGGCCTCCCATCTGGCCTCAGCCTGCCAAGTAGCAGCATCTACCAGCACACACGCCTGCAGCGGGATTCTGCCGCTTGAAGTTTCCACTGTGCATACATAACTGCAGAACAACCCTGAACATACTTTGTTTTATTTATTTATTTATTTTTATTTATTTATTTTTGGAGAGGTTTTTGCTATAGGGCACATGCGCTCGCCAGAAAGAGAGACAGAAAACGAGAAATCACCCCCAAGGGGGGATGGCCACGCCGCAATCCCTTCTCCTCCTTTCTCCTCTCGGGATCTTGGGCACGCATGTACACACGCCTAGCATGAGTTTAAGCCACCAGGTCTGGGACTCGAACTGCGGTCAACTACATGGGAGTCCAGCGACATAGCCATTACGCCAGCCGCTTGTCCCCCCGAACATACTTTGGAATGCCCACATCCACGCACACTCCCCTGCTGCCTCTGAGCAGGCAGGGGGCCCTTTCCCTCCTAGAGGGAAGCGAAACCATTCCTAGGCCTCCTGCCTGGAAGTGTCCTAGGATGGTGGCGTTGCCTCTGCCCTGGTGACACATTTTCTTTCCCCTTCCCTTCAGAAACATTGTCCCATGGCTGAAGAAGTACGGGACCAACCCCAGCAACGGAGAGGTAGGCGGCCGTGCGGGAGCTCAGCGGTGCCGTCCGGGCTGTGCTCTCGCCTCCCCTGTGGTTCCGGCGGTCTCCACGCACACATAGACATGGCGGAGAACCGTGGTGGTGCAGCTGCTGCTTTCCGGGAGCGTGCCTGCCTGTGCGTGTTCGGGGGCCGTAAATGCAATCGTGGTGCTCAAACCCTCTGCGCTCTGCACCTGACCTGAGCCGGGCGCCGAGCAGCGACCCCTGCACCTTGCCTTCCTCCCCTCGCGGTGCGGTGTGGGGATCTGAACGCGGCAGGGCAGGGTGCGCTACTTCGTGCTGCGGCGGCTGCGTGTGCCCTCCCCGTGGGTGTGTGCACTGGCTTGTCTTTCTTTGAGATTTTTGTGATAGGGCGTGTGCACTCGCTGGAGAGACAGAGAAAGTGAGAGATCCCCCTCCCTGGGCAGATGGCCACGCTGCGATCCCTTCTGCTCCATTCTCTCTGGATCTGGGGCACACATGCACACACGCCTGGCACCCGGACCCGAACACGGACTGTGCTTGGCCATATAGGAGTTCAGTGCCCTAGCCGCTACGCCACCTGCCGGCCCCACCGCACTGGTATCTAAGTCCTCTGCTATTCCCCACAGGCACAGAGAATGTCCTTGGGCCTGTTTTTGTGGGTACCCGGGAGTGTCCTGCTGAGTCAAAGACTGGGTGCCGCTGCAGCCTGCGTCGGTAGCTGCCTGCCGGTCGCCCCCCAGAGCAGTTGCATCATTTACGCTCCCGTCCCAGAGACCGTACACAGCGCACTTCTGGCCCCAGAAGTAACGTGGGACCGGCCCGCAGAGCTTCCGCCGGCCCACAGATGTGGCGGAGCTAGGCCTCCGCAAGGGGCTGAGAGCTGACCCAGGAGAGGCGCAGGCACTGCAGGACAGGTGGGGCATGCCAGCTCGTCCCTGTGGAAACACCCAGCGAGAGACCAGGAGTAAAGAGGTCAGCCACACGCGGTGAGCGAGGCAGCTCACTGGAGGCCCGCGAGCTGGTGCAGCAGACGGGTTATGGAGACGCAAGCAGTGCCTGGGGCCAGCAGGGGACACGGTGGTGACAGTGCGGGGTTGCTGCATGGCTGACCGCGGTCTGAATTCTGGACCTGGTGGCTTTAAATGCAGCAGGTGTGTGTGCACACGCCCGAAGTCCCAAGAGGAGAAGGGATTGCAGTGTGGCTATCCCCCGGGAGGCGATTTGTCACTTTCCCTCTCTCTGTCTCTGTCTCTCTCAGAGAGGTGAGTGTACACATCTAATAGCAAAAATTAAAAGAAAATGGCAAGCAAATGCCCAAAGTCTCTGCTAGTACCCCAGGGGCCCTAGCGGCCTCTAGAAGAAGACGCCTGTTTCCCCGTGTCTCCCGCAACTCTGGGTTAGCACAAGTCTGTTTTTGCTCCTCGTGAGCAAGAAACAAATACGATGATGTATATTTTTATTACGAGGTAGGTCAGGCAGCTTTTATTTCCTGTTTTCTGATGGCCAGAGGGTGCATGTGCTTGCAAAGAGAGGGAAAAATGACCCCAGTGGGGCGTGGTCATGCCACCGTCCCCTTTCCTCCATTCCTCTGTCTGGTTCGGAGTTGGAACACGTGCGCACGTTTCCCAAGCCCCCAGGCTGGGCTTAGAACCGGAGCTGGCCACATGGGTCTGGCTCCCAGATCAGATCTGCACAGCGCTTACCCGCACGCCGTGGGCCAGCCCTAGGCAGCTCTGTCTGGTCTGGTGAGTCTGCCCCACGCGAAGCTGTTCCCCGGGTTGGGTTCCAGCCCCGTCTCCTCTCCTGCACCCGAGTGTGCCTTTATTGTAGACCCGCAGTTCTCTCTGCCTGTGTCTCTCAGAGATCTCTCCCCTCACGCTGCAGTCTGTGGCCACTCTTCATTGCATCTGTTTATTTAGCAAGGAGGTGTTGGTGAGCCCCTGCCCGAGCTGGGCCTGTAGCGGCGACTGAGCAGAGACGGTGGCTGACAGGCGACCACCGTGCCATTGAGATGCTGTAGAGGGGGTGAGGCGGGAGGGAGGAGGGGAAGGGATGGTGGCAGCTAGTCAGGGTGTGTCCTGGAGGCCTTGGGGACTCTGGGCAGAGCACAGTTCACCCCAGGTGGTGGGAGTGGGGCAGGGTTTGAAGCTGTGCTGTTACGATCCTGTCTCTGTTCCCAGCTGGGCTCTGGCTGCTGTGGGGCAGGGGTTGGGGCAGGGAGAGCAGCGGGGTCTGCACATCCAGGGAGAGGTGCTGGGCGCATGCGAACTGGGGCACAGGCAGAGTGAGGCTGGTCCCTTCCTCCCCACCAGAGCGTCTTGGGACAGGGTCCGCTCAGAGAGAGCTCCCAGAGAGCAGGAAGGTGCCCTCTGGTGGTTTTATGCTGTGTCGACTTTCAGAGCAAGCCGGGGTCACCCTATGCTCTGCGGTGGGTTTCGGTCCACGCCCTGCCTCTGCCTCTGCGGGTTCCTGTCCACCCCAACCTCACGGCCTTTCCTCCCTCTCGATGGAGAGTGTCCGGTGCCTTTGGGCATTCAGCTTCCTGGGTGCTCTTTTTTTTTTTTCTTTACAGAGAGACCGAAAGCAAGAAATCACCCCCCAGGAGGGATGGCCACGCTGCAATCCCTTCTCCTCCATTCTCCTCTCGGGATCTTGGGGACACATGCACACACACTCGGTGTGAGTTTAAGCCACCAGGTCCAGGACTCGAACCATGGTCGACTACATGGGAGTCCAGTGATGTGGCCATTACGTTGTTTGCTGGTCCCCCTGGGTACTCTTTTTGTCTTTCTTTTTTTTTTTATATATATTTATTTAATTTTATTTGTTATTTTTCGGTTTGACCAGAGAGAAACAGGGGGAGAAAGGGAAAGTGAGAAAGCAAGCCACCAGGTCCGGGACTTGAACTGTAGTTAGCCATGTGGGAGTCCAGCATGTTAACCACTGCACCACCTGCTCCCCCCGCCCCCGGGTACCTTATGCCTCCAGCACTTGTCAGCTGGACCAGGCTCTGCACCCGTGGCCCGTCCTGGCAGTGCCTCGCTCCCCTGTGGGCTGCCTCCTTGAGGCTCCTCTTCTTTATTCCTGGCCTCCCGCAGGGGTGAGCTTCTGCAGGGATGCAGCTGACACCCCCTGCCCCAGGGAGGGCCTTGCCGAGGGCTGGCTCGGCCACACCTGTGGGGCCAGCAGAGGCCCCATTGGCCAAACCCGAGGAGGGGCCCAGGGTCCAGGGCTGTCTGGCCCCACGTCACTCCCTGGGCCCAGGAGGAGTGTGCGTGTGGGTCTGTGGGCTGGGCAGTGCCCAGGAGGCTCTTCCGTGCGCAGATCCCACCTGCACAGTGTGGACAGGGAGCAGGTGAAGGGCAGAGTAGGTGTGACACGGGCAGTGGGGCAGCAGCTGTGCTGTCAGGCTGGTCCATGGCAGGCAGGGGCGTGCAGAGGGTGTGGCAGGACCTGCCGCTCCAGGGGGGCTGTCCGCTTTCTCCCTGGACCCTGGGAGCGCAACCCACACTGGGCCCTGAGTCAGGGTCAGGGGTCAGGGAGATTGGCAGAGCTCGACCCTCCCCCCACCCCATGTCCTTCACAGCTCCCCCTAGGCCCTCCCCCCAGACAGGCTCTCTGGTTTCCTGACTTTGCTGCTTTGCTTTATCGTGGGTTCCTGAAGAACAGGGGAACTGCAGACCCCATGGGATAAAGGAGGCTCCCCCACCCCAGCCGTGTGCGCGTGGGCCCTGTTTCTTCCCCCAGCTTTCTTTATTCACGGTAGAGTTTGTGTGTGCATGTGTGCGAGAGAGGGAGAGGGAAGCAGCCTTCAGGGGTCTGGGCACGCCACGATTCCTTCCTCCAGTCCTCTGGCCTGTCAGTCGTGGGCACCTGTGCGTGTACCTGGCGTGCTTCAGGCTGCCTAGGCCTGGGAGTTGCCCTGCAGTCACCCTGTGGGGACAGTCCCTTCTCCTCCATTCTCTTCTCGGGATCTTGGGCATGTGCACACACATGCCTGGCATGAGATTTAAGTCACTGGGTCCAAGACCTGAACCACGGTCGATGACGTAACCATTACGCCATCTGCTGGTCTCAAGAACATGTATCCTAAGCCTGTGGGGTCGGATACACAGGTGTGACAAGATGCTGCTTGAACATTTAAGAAAAACAAAACATTGAAAGCAGGGAATGGACCACCCCGCGGCACAGCGGTACTGAGCTGCTCAAGGAGCGGAGGAAGCGGAGTCACCCCGGGGAGATGGCCGTGTCAGTTTCTTCCCCTCTGTTCTCCACTCTATATCCTGGGCACGTGCGCGTGCACGCACACACACACACACACACACACACACACGACTAGTGTGAATTTGAGGCCGCCAGGTCCAGAACTCGAATGATGGCTGACTGCATAGGAGTCTGGCACCTTAACACGGTACCACCTGCTGGTCCCGTATGATTTAATTTGGGGGACCAGCAGGTGGCGTGGTGGCTAAGGCGCTGGACACTCCTACGTGGCTGACCATCATTCGAGTCCTGGATCTGGTGGCTTGCTTTCTCACTTTCCGTCTCTCTCTTTCCATCTCTCTCTGGTCAAATTAAAAGAAAAAAGAGTAAATAAAATCAAATAAGCAATTCTTTTAAAAAATAAACAGAAAACAAACAAAAAATATTTAATTTTACCTATTTATTCATCTATTTTAATTTTGCCAGAGAGAGACACACACAGAGCGAGAGAGAGGGAAAGTGAGAGAGCAAGCTGCCAGATCCGGGACTCAAACCATGGTCAGCCATGTGCAAATCCAGTGCCTCAGCCACCATGCCACCTGCTGGCCCCACATACATTCTCGTTTTAAAATTTGCTATAGGGTACGTGTGCAAGCACCCCCTGGGGAGATGGTCACACAGCAATCTCGTCTCCATTCTCCTCTTGGGATTGTGGGCGTGCGTGCACACACACCCAGCATGCTTTTCAAGCCACTGGGCCTGGGGCTCAAACCATGCCGTCAGCCATGTGGGATCCGAGCACCTTAATCTCCACACCACCGGCGGGCCTCCTTTTATTTGTATTCGTCATAGAGGGTATACAAACATGCGTGAGAGAGAGACGGCCTCCACAGGGCTCCGCTGAGATGTGTCCTCTCCTGTCTTCCAGCCCTCGGGGATTGTGGACATGCAGGTGCATTCCTGGCGTGTTCTCAGGCCGACCGGGCCAGGGGCTTGAACCACAGTCCCAGTACGTACCAGCTGTATCGCAGAGGCCGGGCCAGAAATAGCCTCCCTTTTCCATTTCACAAGTCGTCTGTGGTCACTATAGAGGTGTCTAAACATGGCAGAACTATGAAATAGGCCTCCACCCTGCAGCCTCTTCCTTCAGGGTCACCCCTTCCACAGGGTCGCCCCTGTGCAGGGGATGGGGGTTCACGTGTTTACAAACCTGTGCTCAGAACCGGGGATGGTGTCACACAGACGAGGCCACAGAGCCTCCACCCTGCAGCCCCTCTAAAACGTCGCGACGCCCCTCAGCCTCTCCATCTGCAGCGTGCCGGTGGCTCAGCTGCCCCCGTGTCTGTCCCACGCAGCTTCGCAGCCTCCGCGTCGCTTCCTGTCAGCCATGTCCTCACGGTCACTAACGTCAGTTATGTTTCTTCCAGAAACTCGACGGGAGGTCCCTGATCAAACTGAACTTTGCCAAGAACAAAGAAGGTGAGCGGTTAGTGCCTTCTTAGCTGGCTCTGGGGCTGGCCTGCAGAGTGCAAGGCCCCGGCTCGCACCAGGTTCTGCTAGGTTCATTTATTTTTTCTTTATTTCTTTTTTAAATCTCCAGAGGGCACATGTGCTCAGCAGAGTAGGGGGACCGCCCCTGCAGAGGGGCAAGGTCATCCCTCCTCCATTTCTCCATCCTGTGGGGACCTGGGGCATGCCTGCACACGTGCACCCTGGCGTTCCTGAAGCCCCTGGGTCTGCACTCACACTGTGGTCGGCCGTGTGGGATCCAGGCTGCAGGTCTGATTCTTTTCCTGTCTGTTTTTTAAAGTTTGTTCTTATTTATTATTTTTTTTAAATTGCTATATTTAACTTTATTTACTTATTTATTTATTCTTAATTTGAACAGAGAGGGACACAGAAAGAGATAAAGTGAGAAAGCAAGCCACCAGGCCTAGAACTTGAACCATGGTCGGCTATGTGGTAGTCCAGCGTCCTTAACCACAGTGCCACCTGCTGGTCCCTATTTATTATTTTTTGAGAGAGATGTTTGTTACCGGGCACATGTGCTTGCCCAAGCGACAGCAACAGAAAGCAAGAACTTACCCCCCAGGGGGATTGGCCGTACCACGGTCTCTTCTTCATTCTCCTCTCGGGATCTTGGGCATGCGTGCCCCATGTGAATTTTTTTTTTTTTTGAGAGGTTTTTGCTATATGGCGTGTGTGCTCGCTAGAGAGACAGAGAGAGACAGAGAGACAGAAAGCGAGAAATCACTCCCCCAGCCGGGGTGGGCACAC